AGAAGGAAAAAACAAATCATACTTAGGTACATAAAGAATAAAATGATTATGCTGGTAGGGAATATCCAAAAAGAAAGTAAATATTTGACCCATACATTGATGAATACAACAAACATAGCAACATGACACTTAAAATCCTTCATGGAAGGCTATCATTTCATAAATATTTAGGTGGAGCACATTGAATTGTTGTACCAGCAATTCCTGACACAAAAGTCAGTACCGTCGTTTTATACCCAATAACTGCTGATTCAATATGATCATGTTAAGGTGGAAATCATTCCTTTCTAACACCTGTCACAAGTCACCAAAAAATAAACCCGCATTCCCGAACACAGCTTGCTATTTACACATGGAGCACTTGAAAATGTTGTACCAAGGAGTAATAATGCCCCCATATTTTCAATATCAAGGCACCAACAATTTGCGCCATTAAATCCCATTTTCAAAACGTTAAACAGTTTATAAATCGGCCCCCATAACACCAGATGGTACCTGGTACCTTTGATAACATTTGATAATGAGTCATGGGTACACCAGGGTTATGGGTATACCTAGATTATGGTTTATGGGTATACCTCAGTTATAGGTTAGGGTTAGGATTAGGGTTAGGGTATAAACATTTTGCGACATGAGCCGATTTGAGATGAGCCAGGTGTTAAAGGGAGACAATTCATTAATTTTGAGCGGACTAACAAAATTATTTGAAGGTACATTTGTTTTATGTCTGATATTGCCTGTATATATAATGTTGTTTTATTTCGGTTTATCTATCTCATTTGTTTTATAGTATATGTAGAATAAATGACGAAATAAGATATTCTTTAAAAATATTTTGAAAAAGGATCAAGAAAATAATTGGCAGATGTTCGCTTTAAACTACTTCATTTAATGCAGTGATTATTAAATCGGATTTATAATTGCTATCATTATATTGATTTGACTATTTTTATTCAGATATCAGCAACTGTTAATAATCTATTTTTAGATTATATTAACTTGCTGTTTCATAAATTTCGAAAAATGGAATCACGTGTCACGGATGTCGGGAAATAAATGCGACTGTTATTTAGTAAACTCTTTAATCACTATTCAGTGAAATATTGAAAGAAGATTAAATTTTTCAGATTTTTTTACCATTGGAAGTATGCAAAAGTCTGCTTCAAATTCCCAAAAAAGGCTACATCTAGACTGGATTAAAACAGAGATAGAAGGGATGGGGACATTTGTGATTAATTTTCCGAGGTTAAAAATTCATTCTGCCGATTCATAACTTATAAGAAGGATCCTGGAATTTTTTTAACTGTACCGGTTTATGGATTGTATTGTGATCAATAAACAAGGTTAATGTGATCACTAAAAACGTGTAATGCATTGTTTTAATGTGAATATGTAATCTGCATTAAAAGTCAATACAAAAAAGAAGATGTGGTATGACTGCCAATGAGACAACTCTCCACAAGAGACCAAATGACACAGAAATTTACAACTATAGGTCACCGTACGGCCATCAACAAAGCCCATACCGCATAGTCAGCTATAAAAGGCCCCGAAATGACAAATGTAAAACTATTCAAACGAGAAAACTAACGACCTAATTTATGTACAAACAAAAAAATGAGCGAAAAACAAATATGTAACACATCAACAAACAACAACCACTGAATTACAGGCTCCTGACAAGCATTTTGTGTCATGTTACCTACTACTATGTCACTACCTATAACCCACTAAACCGTTACCAATTACCTATTACCCTTTACCTATTACCCATTATCCACTATACCTTAACCATTTACCCTTTACCCAATACCCAGTATACATTTACCCTTTACCCATTACCCATTACCAAGTATACCGTTACCCATTACTTATTACCCAGTAAACCGTTACCCATTACTTATTACCCAGTAAACCGTTACCCATTACCCAGTTAACCGTTACCCTTTACCCATTACCCATCATCCAGTATACCGTTACCCTTTATCCATTTCCCATTACCCAGTATACCGTTACCCTTTTCCCCTTACCCATTACCCAGTATACCGTTACCCTTTATCCATGATTCAGTACCCAGTAAACCGTTACCCATTACCCATTACCCATTATATCTTTACCCATTACCCATTACAGTATACCGTTACCCTTTACCCATTACCCAGTATACTTTTACCAATTACCAATTACCCAGTATACCGTTACCCTTTACCTATTACTCTTTACCCAGTATACCGTTACCCATTACCCATTATCCAGTACACCGTTACAAATTACCCAATTTACCCTACCTATTACACAGTGTACCGTATCCATTTACACATTAACCAGTGTACCGTAACCCATTAGACATAACCTAGTACATCGTTACCAATTACCCATTACCAATTACCTGGTATACCGTTACCCATTACCAATTTAACTTTTACCCATCACCCATTCCTCAGTATACTGTTAACCGTTACCGATTACCCATTACATAGTATACTATTACCCATTACAAATTACCCATTATCCAGTATAACGTTAGCAATTTCTAATTACGCAGTTTATCGGTACCCATTACCCATTAACCAATTTACCGTTACCAATTACTCACTACCCAGTGTACCGTAACCCATCAACCATTACTTGGTACACCATTACCCATTAACCATTGCCCATTTTACCGTTACCCGTTACACATTATCGAATATATCGTTACCCATTAGCAAATACTCAATAATTCGTAGCTAATTACTCATTACCTAGTATAAAGTTACCCATTGACCATTACCTGGTATACCGTTACCCATCACCCATAAGTAGTAAAACGTTAACCATTTCCTTGTTTACCGTTACCCATTACCCATTACCCAGTTTTCCGTTACCCATTACCTAGTATATCGTTACCCATTAACCATTACCCAGTATACTGTTACTTAATCCCTATATCCTAAAAGACCGTCATATCGTTACCCATTACCCATTACCTAGTATACCGGTTACACATACCCAGTTTACCGTTAGCCATTATCCATTACCCAGTTAATCGTTACTCATTACCAATTACCATTAACCCAGTGTACCGTAATCCATTTACCGTTACCTAGAAAATCGTTACCTATAACTCATTACCCATTACCTGGTATACCGTTACCCATTACCCATAACACGGTATACCGTTAACCATTACCCATTAACCAGTATACCGTTACCCATAACCCAGTACCCAGTATACCGTTACCCATTACCCAGTATACCTTTACCATTTATCCATTACCCAATACCCAGTATACCTTTACCTAGTATATCTTTACCCTTTACCCATTATTCATTACCCAGTATACCGTTACCCTTTACCTATTATCCATTAACCAGTATACCTTTACCCTTTACACATTATCAATTACCTAGTATACCTTGACTCTTTACCCATTACCATTACCCAGTATACCGTTACCCATTACCCAATACCAAGTATACCGTTACCCTTTATTCATTACCCAGTACCTAGTAAGCCGTTACCCATTACCCATTACCCTGTATACTTTACTATTTACCCAATACCCAGTATACCTTTACATTTTACCCATTATCCATTAAAAAGTATACAGTTACCCATTACCCATTACCCATTACCTGGTATACCGTTACCCATTACCCATAACACGGTAAACCTTTAAACATTACCCATTACTCAGTATACCGTTACCCATAACTCAGTACCCAGTATACCGTTACACATTACCAAGTATACCTTTACCCTTTACCCATTATCCATTACCCAGTATACTGTTAATCTTTACCCATTAACCATTACCCAGTATACCGTTACCCTTTTTCCATTACCCATTACCCAGTATACCGTTACCCTTTATCAATTACCCAGTATACGGTTATCCATTACCAATTTCCCATCATCCAGTATGCCGTTACCATTTATCCATTTCCCATAACTCAGTATACCATTAACCTTTACCCATTACCAATTACCCAGTATACCGTTACCCTTTACCCATTACCCTTTACCCAGTATACCGTTACCCATTACCACCGTACACCGTTACTTATTACCTATTAACCTTAACATATTACCCATTACCTAGTATACCGTAACCCATTACTCATTACCCAGTATACAGTTACCAATTAACCATTACCTGGTATACCGTTACCAATTACCCATTACGTAGCATACTGTTATACATTACCCATTACCCAGTATACCGTTACCCATTACCCATAACCCAGTATACTGTTACCCATTACCCATTACTCAGTATGCCGTTACCCATTACACATTACTCAGTATACCGTTACCCATTACCCATTACTCAGTATACCGTTACCCATAACCTATTACCCTGTATACCGTTACCCATTACCCATTATCCAGTATACCGTTACCCATTACCCATAACCCAGTATACCGTTACCCATTACCCATTACTCAGTATACCGTTACCCATTACCCCATTACTCAGTATACCGTTACCCATTACATACTTCCAATTATACCGGTACCCAGTATATCGTTACACATTTATCATTACCTATTAGAGGTTTCCCGATTTTCTATCGTGCCAACCGAAGTACGATTTGAGAGCCGACATTGAACTGTTGAAAACAATTCATATATGCCCTTAATATTATATGAATCATTACCAAAATTATTTAGAAGATTTTGGCTACAACTTAGTGTTAATTTCATGTGGATATTTAGCTCTTGAAAATTGTTAATTTTTTTTCAATTTGAACCAAAACGATTCTTGACATAAAATTATGCCAGTTGTATTTTAAAAGCCAAATGTATTTACTAGCTATTGAGCATTATTTAATGTACTTTTCTGCATTCAGTCAAATTAAAACTATTGTATAGTCGGCTGTCAGGTATTATTTTTTGAAAATTAAAAAAACATTTCCAAAATTTCTTTTTAGTGGAAGGGCAGAGGTTGAAGACTAAAAACCCTAGAAGTTTTGAAGTTATGCATTTTTAAACTCTTTTTTTTTTAATATTTTAGATATATTCCTGTTACCATAATAAAAGATGGATTATGAGTTTAAATGGATTCTCAGACACAAAAGTGAAGAAATGAATGTTTCAGGTTGCTGTATTTGTTGTCTGCATCTATAAATGGTGCCAATATCTATCCTTTTTGATAATACTTGTGTGCCAGCATGAACATTTTATTCTTTTGATGGATAATCTGACACTGTATAAGTCTACGGTTACTTATATTTGTGTCGATAACAATAAAAGGCGACAATATTTCTTTCTTTTTGATGATACTTCTGTGACGGCATGAACATTTCATTTTTAGGATGGATAATTTGACACAAAATGAGAGCTGTATAAGTCTACGGTTACTTATATTTGTGTCGATAACAATAAAAGGCGACAATATTTCTTTCTTTTTATTGATATTCTTGTACCGGCTTGGTAATTGAGTACTTTTTGTACCTCAAGATTGATTGTTAGACATTAGAGTGAAGGATTTTAAGTTTCAAATTGCTATATGTGTTGTACTCATCAATATAGGGTGTCAACATTGACCTTTTTCGTGGTTATTCCATCCTATTTCATTCTTTTTGGTTTATAGTTTTCAGTGTATGGAGACTAAAAACTTTGTCGACAGATATAAAAAGTGCCAATATTTCTTCTTTTATATGATATTTAAGTACTTTCATGCCTCATGCTGGACTGTTTGAGTTAAATTATATTTTTATTTTTTTATTTATTTTTTTTTTTTTTTTTAACTGTTCTGATAAATGCTGGAGTGTTAGAGTTAAATTATAGTTAACATTTTTATTTATTTATTTATAAAGTCTGAGTGCGCATGCGCGACATGCCTTGGATACAAGGGTTCCCCCCATTAGCATATGTGTACTGAGTGCTTTATATAGTAGGCTTTGTGTAATAATTTCCTCAAACAAGGTGACACAAAATTTGAATTCAGGGAAGATAATCCAATTAGGAATATAGGCAAAGTTCGAAAAATCGTAGCTCCGTTGTTTGCGGTCCGATGTATAAACTGTTTAGTGTTTTGGAAAGGACATTTAACTGCGGAAATTGTGCTGACTTGATAGTGAAAATAAAATGTGTATAGCCATTAAAGAAGACTTGGGTATTTGTTTACATATCAGACGTAGTAAGGAATACGGGAGGCTATATGGCAAACTTTGAAAAAGTCATAGCTCCGTTTTTAACCGTTTGATTTACAAAATGTTTAACGTTTTGAAAAGGACATTCAATTGGGCAAATTGTGCAGTCTAGGTTTGGAAGATCAGTTCAGGCATTCAAAAGTTATAGGTCGATAAAGAACACATGGGTATTTGTTTACATATTAGACGTAGTATGGATAGGGTTAGGATTAGGGTTAGGTTAGGGTTAGGGTTAGGGTAAGGGTTAGGGTTAGGTTTAGGGTTAGGGTTAGGGTTAGGTTTAGGGTTAAGGTTAGGTTTAGGGTTAGGGTTAGGGTTAGGGTTAGGGTTTAGGGTTAGGGTTAGGGTTAGGGTTAGGGTTAGGGTTAGGGTTAGGTTAGGGTTAGGGTGAGGGTGAGGGTTAGGGTTAGGGTTAGGGTTAGGGTTAGGGTTAGGGTTAGGGTTAGGGTTAGGTTAGGGTTAGGGTTAGGGTTAGGGTTAGGGGTTAGGGTTAGGGTTAGGGTTAGGGTTAGGGTTAGGGTTAGGGTTAGGGTAGTGGACTTTGGCGAGGGTTAGTGAGGTGACCTTTTTTACTTCTGCGCATGTCTGACCTTTTTTGTGACTGCGCATGCGTGAGAAATTTCCAAAAATATTTCTAAGTACAGAGTATGAAAAGTGCCTTTGACTTCAATCTTCAAATAGGTGTAGAATGGATTTGAATAGAGATATTTTCTTAAAGTTAACTGTTCCGAAAAGATGAAAAGGCGATCTAGAGCATGAAAACTTATTGGTATCAATGAAGTGTACGGCCGCACTTTCCGACCTCACTGAAGAAACGTTTGTGTGAGAGTGAAGCCTAATCCCGACATTAACCCCAACTCCGAAACTACAAAAGATAAAGACTTGCGGTTTTCATCATAGGCTTAATTCTCGCAAAGTACTGCCCCTAACGGGGTCGATTTATTAATGTCAAGCCAATCGAAGCATAGGATCATGTTGAGACTTTGAAAAGATCGACTTTGAAAAGTACCAAAAACCACAACCTGACCCCCCACCCCTCCAAAACTGTGATTTTTGAGAAGTTCGTGAAGAAACTTAATACGAAAATCTAATCGGTTAACCCCCTAGACTTACCCGTTCCAAGATAAAGTAAGGCCTTCAAAACAACGATTTTAACACATTTGGGGTTTGGGTTAGGGTTAGTGTTTGGGTTAGGGTCAGGGTTTGGGTTAGGGTTAGGGTCAGGGTTTGGGTCAGGGTTTGGGTTTGGGTTAGGGTCAGGGTTTGGGTTAGGGTCAGGGTCAGGGTCAGGGTTAGGGTTAGGGTCAGGGTTAGTGTTAGGGTAAGGGTCAGGGTAGTGGACTTAAAGGATGGTAGTGGACTTTGGCGAGGGTTAGTGAGGTGACCTTTTTTACTTCTGCGCATGTCTGACCTTTTTTGTGACTGCGCATGCGTGAGAAATTTCCAAAAATATTTCTAAGTACAGAGTATGAAAAGTGCCTTTGACTTCAATCTTCAAATAGGTGTAGAATGGATTTGAATAGAGATATTTTCTTAAAGTTAACTGTTCCGAAAAGATGAAAAGGCGATCTAGAGCATGAAAACTTATTGGTATCAATGAAGTGTACGGCCGCACTTTCCGACCTCACTGAAGAAACGTTTGTGTGAGAGTGAAGCCTAATCCCGACATTAACCCCAACTCCGAAACTACAAAAGATAAAGACTTGCGGTTTTCATCATAGGCTTAATTCTCGCAAAGTACTGCCCCTAACGGGGTCGATTTATTAATTTCAAGCCAATCGAAGCATAGGATCATGTTGAGACTTTGAAAAGATCGACTTTGAAAAGTACAAAAAACCACAACCTGACCCCCCACCCCTCCAAAACTGTGATTTTTGAGAAGTTCGTGAAAAAACTTAATACGAAAATCTAATCGGTTAACCCCCTAGACTTACCCGTTCCAAGATAAAGTTAGGCCTTCAAAACAACGATTTTAACACATTTGGGGTTTGGGTTAGGGTTAGTGTTTGGGTTAGGGTCAGGGTTTGGGTTAGGGTTAGGGTCAGGGTTTGGGTCAGGGTTAGGGTCAGGGTTTGGGTTTGGGTTAGGGTCAGGGTTTGGGTTAGGGTCAGGGTCAGGGTCAGGGTTAGGGTTAGGGTCAGGGTTAGTGTTAGGGTAAGGGTCAGGGTAGTGGACTTAAAGGATGGTAGTGGACTTTGGCGAGGGTTAGTGAGGTGACCTTTTTTACTTCTGCGCATGTCTGACCTTTTTTGTGACTGCGCATGCGTGAGAAATTTCCAAAAATATTTCTAAGTACAGAGTATGAAAAGTGCCTTTGACTTCAATCTTCAAATAGGTGTAGAATGGATTTGAATAGAGATATTTTCTTAAAGTTAACTGTTCCGAAAAGATGAAAAGGCGATCTAGAGCATGAAAACTTATTGGTATCAATGAAGTGTACGGCCGCACTTTCCGACCTCACTGAAGAAACGTTTGTGTGAGAGTGAAGCCTAATCCCGACATTAACCCCAACTCCGAAACTACAAAAGATAAAGACTTGCGGTTTTCATCATAGGCTTAATTCTCGCAAAGTACTGCCCCTAACGGGGTCGATTTATTAATTTCAAGCCAATCGAAGCATAGGATCATGTTGAGACTTTGAAAAGATCGACTTTGAAAAGTACCAAAAACCACAACCTGACCCCCCACCCCTCCAAAACTGTGATTTTTGAGAAGTTCGTGAAAAAACTTAATACGAAAATCTAATCGGTTAACCCCCTAGACTTACCCGTTCCAAGATAAAGTAAGGCCTTCAAAACAACGATTTTAACACATTTGGGGTTTGGGTTAGGGTTAGTGTTTGGGTTAGGGTCAGGGTTTGGGTTAGGGTTAGGGTCAGGGTTTGGGTCAGGGTTAGGGTCAGGGTTTGGGTTTGGGTTAGGGTCAGGGTTTGGGTTAGGGTCAGGGTCAGGGTCAGGGTTAGGGTTAGGGTCAGGGTTAGTGTTAGGGTAAGGGTCAGGGTAGTGGACTTAAAGGATGGTAGTGGACTTTGGCGAGGGTTAGTGAGGTGACCTTTTTTACTTCTGCGCATGTCTGACCTTTTTTGTGACTGCGCATGCGTGAGAAATTTCCAAAAATATTTCTAAGTACAGAGTATGAAAAGTGCCTTTGACTTCAATCTTCAAATAGGTGTAGAATGGATTTGAATAGAGATATTTTCTTAAAGTTAACTGTTCCGAAAAGATGAAAAGGCGATCTAGAGCATGAAAACTTATTGGTATCAATGAAGTGTACGGCCGCACTTTCCGACCTCACTGAAGAAACGTTTGTGTGAGAGTGAAGCCTAATCCCGACATTAACCCCAACTCCGAAACTACAAAAGATAAAGACTTGCGGTTTTCATCATAGGCTTAATTCTCGCAAAGTACTGCCCCTAATGGGGTCGATTTATTAATTTCAAGCCAATCGAAGCATAGGATCATGTTGAGACTTTGAAAAGATCGACTTTGAAAAGTACAAAAAACCACAACCTGACCCCCCACCCCTCCAAAACTGTGATTTTTGAGAAGTTCGTGAAAAAACTTAATACGAAAATCTAATCGGTTAACCCCCTAGACTTACCCGTTCCAAGATAAAGTTAGGCCTTCAAAACAACGATTTTAACACATTTGGGGTTTGGGTTAGGGTTAGTGTTTGGGTTAGGGTCAGGGTTTGGGTTAGGGTTAGGGTCAGGGTTTGGGTCAGGGTTAGGGTCAGGGTTTGGGTTTGGGTTAGGGTCAGGGTTTGGGTTAGGGTCAGGGTCAGGGTCAGGGTTAGGGTTAGGGTCAGGGTTAGTGTTAGGGTAAGGGTCAGGGTAGTGGACTTAAAGGATGGTAGTGGACTTTGGCGAGGGTTAGTGAGGTGACCTTTTTTACTTCTGCGCATGTCTGACCTTTTTTGTGACTGCGCATGCGTGAGAAATTT